GAAGCAGTATTTCCCCACAATACTTTTCCCAACCTCCAGAAGACTTTGGCTCCCGCACTTCTCTGGTTTTAGAAGTGCTTGAAAGATTTTTCTTCAAAAATTATCTCATTGCTTAAAGTTTACACAAGAGCAGAATGCATCTGCAGAGGTATGTGCCCAGGAGTTCTGGATCTTAATTATGCACTATTGGAAGAGACAGACTGATGTAATTCTGCTTTAATTAGCAGCTTTCCATGTTGCTGTAAAGGTTGTTAACTTATGTAGTTGTTCATTTTTGCATTTAATTTTTAACTCCACTAGTAAAGAAATTCTGTTAAGATGTGAAAATGGTATCAGTCCTGATTTTTTTTTTTTTTTTACTATGGTTTGAAGATTTAACTCTGTTTTGAATAAAATGGACCACCTCCTAGGATTTCTTTTAGGTTGGGAAAAAATGGTTCATGTGCTCTGCTGCTGGCTCCTGAACACAGGGAGCTTTTTTGACTTCGTCAAGAGAAAAATATTGAGAAGGACGCTTATGCTCAGTGGGATAAATCAGTGAATAGCTCTCTTGTAAAAGTTCTTTATTATGGTCTTATGTGAATGCAGGAATTAAGCTAGCTCTCCAAAAGTACTCCATTGAATTGAAATCATACCAAAATTAAAAAGTTTTCACAGTGACAGTAACAGGAGAACAGGGAATTATGTTAGTTTACCAGGATCCGAACTATGATGCAGTGGCTTAGGCAAACGGATGCTCTACTACGTTGTCCTTCAATTGGTGCTCCAGCTGCAATACCTAATACTGAGGGGTGGTGACTTACTCTGCACCCCAGTTCCCTGTCTATTTCAGCTAAATGGCGAAGGTGAGCTGGCGGAATAAGGCACACCGCCTGAGAAACCAGCTGTGTGACTCTGATTCATCTTGTAAAATGTCTTTCCCTGTCTGAGGAAACCATTTGAGAGTAGTGAAAGCTGAAAGAATAAAGAAACCCAGGCCTCTGCTTCCACCATGTCTTTGCTTCGTTTCCTGAAGACAAGAGCAGAGCTGGGCAGTTGCATTGTTTCTCTTTGGTTTCCCTTTCTGGTATTGCATAATGCTTCTGCTATACTGTGAATGAGAACACAAGAAAATTTTATGTACCAAAGATGCATTTATAACATTATTTCTTGAATATTTTTAACAAAACCTCTAATATTTAAATTGGTAACATCTCTTTAGTACACAGAAATAATTATTACAGATGTTTTTTGTGGTATGACTTATGCTTACTGGAAGTTGATTGGTATAATGTGTAATTTGATACCTTTCTACTTTTAAAGACACTAACGTGAGCTGTAAAAATCCATTTTTTGCCAACATAAGAATGCATAATTCATTCCAAAAATACTGTGGTTAATAATCGAATGATACTGTCTTAGAGCTTCTGACTATGTTATTCCAATCCAGCATACCAGCACAAATACTGCAGCTATTATTGTGTAACTAAATGAGAAAGTTTTGATAGCTCCAGACTTGGAAGAACTGTACACCAGCTTCAGCAAGGGCTTGACCAGCACTGAGCCTATGAAAATCTGCCTGTCTTGGTATGTGAGCCACATACTAGAGGAGGTTATTCATGTTAAGAATGTCTTTGTGCAATATGCAAAGATTCTTTATGATCTATACTGATTTTATTTCAGTGAGAAAAAGCGTCCTTGTGAAGTAATTTCTTTTGAGAATTAATATTGGATGGAGTGTTCTGCATGGGCCTGGATATCTGTGTATCCTTTTACATTTATTAAGATAATCTTATGTTGGGTTATATAGCAATTTCCCAGTTCATTAGATTTCCTTTCTCAGCAGCAAAAGTAACATTTTAAATACCCTCTTGTTTAATATGCAGCTCAGATAAATATGCTAATGACACAGTAGGAATCTGTAAATATTTATGGTAAGTTTGTAAAGATCTCTATTTCGACAGATACAGGACAAATGCCTTTCAGTAGTTCTGAAGAGCAAAAATAGTGTTTGAACTTCCCAGTGACTCTTGTAGTAAGTGTGTTTCCAGGAAAACATAAGGGAATTATGGAACTGCTCAACTGCTTCAAAACCCCATAGAAGTTGATGAGATTTTTTTTCCATTGCTCTCAGCTACATTTTGATCCATTTAAAAATGGATTATTATGGTGTGTGGAGAGGTTAGGGGTGCACTTAAATTGTTCCTTGCATGCAAGATCTCTCAGTGTATCTACTTGATACTCGTTTAACCGCCTAAAATGCTCCCCTGTTGCAAGAACAATGAGTGGCAAGTAAATGTTTGTGCAGGCAGTTCATGTGTATATTTTTGTTTAAAAACAAAACAAACTTAAAAAACACCCAACAACAGCAGTGTTGATTTTAGTATTAGATAAATAGTATTGTAAGTATATGCAAAGGAGTGTATGAAGACTACCTATATCAATGCAGTCACTAAGAGTGCCTGAAATTCATTGTGGGCTGTTTCTTCTTCATTGACTGGATTATTTTATTGCTGCTTTGAATTACAAAGATGGGAGGAACAGTCTTTGAGAAATTATTTGAATTTGGGTCTGAACGTTTGTATGCTGGACCCCATGTGACTCCATCTTGGATGAACAGAAGTGTCAAAGGACTTTCTACATTATGATGTATATAACACACTCTCAGGAATCAGGCACTCTGCTATTCTACACCACTCCTGAGAATTTACCTGATTCATGTTGCTCATCCAGTAATTCTTCCACCTCAGATCTCAGATAACATAGTCAAACACACTGTGCAACTATGACAGGGTTCCTAAAGTATGCGATACAATTGTTTATAGATATTTATAGTAACAAGTAAATACAAATATAAACAAATGGTCAGGTTTACCTCCATTTAATAAGCTTTTTCGATGTTTGTAATCAGCTGTCTGAGGATCTAGTTTCTGTACAACCCTGCATCCTCAATTTGTATTCATTGAACAGGACCGGGATTTCAGATGTATGTTTTTTTGGGTTGGTTTTTTTTTGTAGGGCAAACCCATCATACTCATATTCAAATAATTCCATTTCCTCTCTTTTTAAGGTTTTTTTAATCTTTAACTCACTGATGAACTAGTAACAACTTCCACCCATCCCTCT